AAAAAAAAAAAAAAAGAGAGAGAGACCTATAGATGGTTAGAACAGAAAAAGATACAGGAGATCATAAAACAAGACAACAATGCAAAATCACAGAGCTCAGAAGGAAAAGTGGCAGAGCTGGAACTCAACCTTCTTAACTTCAACTCAGTTGTCCTCCTACTCCACACACTGCCTACCCCGCTCAACATGGCTTTGTCCAGTGTTCACATGCTGCACACTAGGACAACACAAACCTCCATTATTAAAGTTTTAAAGCCGGAAAGGAAAATGACCCACATTCCAACATAATCATATCTCAGTAAACTCAGGGGAGAGAGAGAGGCATGGCAAAAGCACTGGATGAGGAACCAGACCTTTCACACCAACTCAATACATTTACTTGTTCAAATCACTTCACCTCCTAGTGCCTGCTCAGGTCTTGAAGGACCCCTCCTGCTTTCTTACCTTATGGCCCTATGAGAGAATTCTGCCCCCCAAAATGTGAAATACCGCTTCCCAAAATGTGGCTTTGACAGAAACAAGCAAACTTTCTCAGGCCAAACACCCAGGAGTCATCTTGATTCCTGTCTTTCACCCACACAACAATTATCTTGAATCTTCCTTCAAGGCACGCCTTGCATGGGATCACTTAGCACTTCCACTGCCACCTTTCCACACCCAAAGCCAAAGTCCTTCCAGTGGCCTAGGAGGGCCCTGTGCTGTGACTCCCCACTCCCCTCCCCCCCAACTTCATCACCTGCTACTCTCTCCTTTACTGCCCTCCAGCCTATGAGTTGTCCAGCTCTTCCTCACATGTGACAGCCACATCCCCACCTCTGGGCCTATGCACTTGCTATTCTCATTTCTTCATGTCCTCAGGTCTCCGCTCAAACATCACCATCTCAGAGAAGCCTTCCTCAACCCTTACTATAAAGGTCACCCATCCAAACTGGAGAGTGTTATGCTAAGTGAAATAAGCCATACAGAGAAAGACAGATACCATATGTTTTCACTCTTATGTGGATTCTGAGAAACTTAACAGAAACCCATGGGGAGGGAAGGAAAAAAGAGGTTAGAGTGGGGAGAGAGCACAAGAGACTCTTAAAGACCAAACTGAGGGCTGATGGGGGGTGGAGGAGGAGGGTGGGTATTGAGGAGGGCACTTTTGGGATGAGCACTGGGTGTTGTATGGAAACCAATCTGACAATAAATTTCATATATTGGAAAAAAAAAAAAATAAAATGCATGTAGAGCCCATAAAAAAAAAAAATAAAGGTCACCCATCCAACCATGATACTCTATCCCTTCTTTTTTTTTTTTTTCATAGCACTGTTTTTTTTTTTTATACCACTACCACTCAATTTATTTTTAACTGTCACTCCCCTCTTTCCCCATGAGAGGCTCCATGAGAGTGAGAGCTGGTTGACAGTCCCAGGAAGAGAAGGTTCACTAGGGGATTCCAGGAGGCTGACCAATGCCCTTTCACCGCTTTTCAGGGGGGAGTCAAACTACCCCACTACCCTCCAGGCAAAGACACTTCTGCCTGATTTCTGCACAAATCATTCCACTTCTTTTAATTTCCAGAACTGAATAATACTCATCCCTTCCATTTACTGGGCCCTTGATATTTTCAGAAAAGAGCACTTATAGTGGAACAAGCTCTGGAAGGCATTTTGGCAATTAGTGAGCAAACTCTGATGCCAGCAGAGTGATTCTCATCAATGTTATGTTCAAGTCTCTCTACAAGTTGGGTTACACATGCCATCTGTGATTAGTGGAGCTAGGTGATTTAAACTTTTCAGGCTGGAAGTGTGGTAATGAATGAGGCAAGCCATAGGCGCCAAGTGGTTAATTTTGTTTTCATTACTAATTGCAGGCAGTTCTGCATTATCTTCTCACAGTGGAAATAACATCTAGCCATTTGAGAGTCCTCCCAATTTCCCTTTCAGTCCTCCCAAGGTCAATGAAATCCCTTCTGGGTAAAGTGACCATTCTACTCTATTATCCCCATTCTCTAACAATTATAAGGAAGCTGTTCTCAGGCTTTGTGAAAGAGTTTTCCCCTTTACATTTCTGTCTCAACCAACCATTTATAAGCCAGGCTTTCATCAAGTCCTCATTTCTCCAAATTGCTTAACCTAAATCTGGAAAGCTTTCTGAGTAATTCCTTCAGCAACCTCCCCTGCCCCCAAATACACTATCAGGTCTGAGGGCCTTTTTCTGTTTTCTCCCTTCCTTTGAAAAAATCTACTACACTTAGGACACCAAACAGGAGATGCTGGCAGGGCCCCCATTGTAGTGGATATACCATTGATTAAAATATGATGAGAAAGTAACAGCAGGACCATGGCTAAGAAAATCTCCCTGAAATACCTAATCATCCGAAGATGGAAAGGCATTGTGAAGAACTGATTCCAAAGAACTGATTCATAAAGCTATTGGAGTCAGGTCTCCAATATTTCTCCTACAGATATTTAGGAGGGAACGAGTTCAGCTCTGTATCATAGACAACACCTCAGATAGGAAGTGGGGAAGGATCCCCTTTCATTTAGAAGGTTATGAAAATATTGCATTTTTTTTTCATTCATTTCAACAGTTTCCATGGCCGTGTCCCACAGCCCCCCCATGCTGCTGTCCCAGACTCACTGACAGATGTCCACCAGCTGGTCCAGTTCAGGGCAGCTGCACTCATACATGTCCCGGCAGCTCACGTGGCTCTGGTTCATTAAGTCCCCCAGCAGCTGGACCGTGTTGTCAGGTGCTTCTTCACATATCTTCTTAAACTGGAGCACCCGAGCAGCCTCGCTGTACACGTGCTTTGCCCGCTGGTAGAGTTTGAAGATGAGCACTTAGGAAGGGAGAGGACAGGGAACAAGGTTAGAAGTGTTTACTGGACAGCCCAGTGCAAAGAAAAACAGTCATTGAGGACTTCCGTTTCTATCTTCATTATCAATACCATCAAGACCATGAAAGAAATCTTCATGGTCTAAATTTGTCTCTTTTCAAGTCAATTTTACTTTTTTCTTTATAGTGACTACAGTCTTCTATTTTTTCCCTTCATTCTACACACCCAGCCATGTGCACACACATGCGTGCAAACTAACTCATCCCATAGGAGCAAGGAGCTAACATGTACTGAGCACTCCCTATGTTTCAGCCACTTTAAAGGCACGGTCTTCATGTAGTTCTCCTCACAGCACTGGGGAGGGAGGGGGGTGTGGGTGGCAGTATGATCCCTGGTTAACAGGTAAGAGAATGAGGCTGAGCAGACTGAGCCTAAGGTCACATATCCGGAAACTGGAGAAGCAGAATATTGATCAGGATGTCTGATCCCAGGGCCATATTCTTTCTACTGTGACCCACCAGAAAGGACCACTGAAAATGCTTATGCTGGCAATTCTATTTATGAAAATGTATCCTAGAGATAAGTACAAGTATTTGTATATGTATATATGTGTACATGTGTATGTGTACCCATACACACACACACATACACACACACACACATATATGTATAGCAACAGAAAATATAGAAACAAATGTCCAATAATAGGAAACATTTAAAAAACTATGTTATATCCATTAAAAAATATTATTGCCATTAAAACTTAGAATCTAGGGGTGCCTGGGTGGCTCAGTCACTTAAGTGTCCAACTCTCAATTCCAGCTCAGGTCATGATCTCACAGTTCGTGGGATCAAGTGCCACACCAGGCTCTGCACTTACAGCATGGGGCCTGCTTAGGATTCTCTCTCTCCCTCTGCCTCTCCCACACACCCTCTCTCTCTCTCTCAAAATTAAATCTTAAAAAAAAAAAAACAAAACAACAACTCAGATCCTAAGACAATTTACTATCTGAGAAATTATTCACTATCAAGTGAAAAAACAAGCCTTTTTTCACTTGAAAAAAACTATATGTACAATTGATACTAATTTTTGCATTCACACATACATGTATTTATATAAATTTTAATTTTTAAAAACTTTAAGAAAGCACCAAAACATTAACAGTTATTATCCCTGTGGTAGATGATGGGTGATTTTATTTTCTCCTTAACACATTTCTATACTTTCTAGATTATCCACAATGACTCTTAACTTCAGTTACAGGAACATGTCCTACTGCAGTGGTTTTCTCTATAATGTTTACATGTTCCCTTGAATAATGACTGAGACCTCCTTAACATTCTCACCCTTGCAGAGTGGCTGACCTTGTGCCATGGACCTGACGAATTTGTGATTATATGGAAGCTACCTAGCCAACTGGAAAGATCCAGGGCTGCACATCAAAAGGTCTGTCCTTTCTTTTCAGCTCTGTGACAATTAACTGTACCCAGTTGCTACCCCTATAGGGTTCTATTTCCCCATCTCTAAAATGAGATTGAGAATTACTTCTCAGGATCCTTCCAGGTCTAACATTTTATGATTCCATGAAGATCTTCTTCCAAGCACCCCCCCCCATATTGTTATATGTTGTAAAGAGTGTGCTGTGACTGTTCCCTTTTGTCTGCACCCCCAGTTCTACTCTCTCCTCTTCTCTACCCCACTTCTCTGCCTCAGGAGGCTGACCTGTATGATTACACCAGTGGGTTCCCTTGCCATCTAGACTGGAGAAAGGGAGATCAAGAAATGGGAAGGAAGAAAGTAGGACAGAGGATTTATTCCCCAGCTCCCTCCTTGCAGGGGGCTCTGCTACTCCACTGAAAGACACTGAACATCCTCTCAAGAGAGCCTTTTCTACATGACTTGATCCTCCAGCATTGACCTCCAGGTTCCTCCCCCTAGACTATTACTACTTTTTCGGAGGTGCTTTCACATTTCATTTATGAACCAACATATTTTAGTAAAGTTTCAGGTTACATTTCCTCCCTCTCCACAGCACCGTCCTCCTAATTCTTAGGGATGGATAAAAAGGCAGCCAAGGCTGGAGGAAGTAAACAGCCCTTCTTAGGATTGTGTAAAGTTTAATAATTACAAGGGTGGGGCTACCTTTCTATAAATAAGCAAAAAATGAAAAGTTTTCTTTCAAACATTCTCAACTGAGTCATATGAAGTATGACTCAACTTACAGTTAACAGCTTGCATTTTCCCGTTCTCTTTCAAAGAGGACTTAAATTCATTCATCAGATCTAGTCAGTTCTTTTGCAACATGTCTGGTAATCATGCCTCCTTTCTATTTCTGCTGTCATTACCCAAATGTACATTTTTACTCCTTTTCCCACTTGAACTATTCTGCAGTGGTTTCCAAATTGATTTCCCTGTCTTGATGTCTCCTTCCTGCAACCTATCTTGAGGCCAACACAGCCAGACGGAGCTCCTAACACACAGCCTTACTCATGTTACTGCCCCAAACCTTTACTGCCTGGCCAGTGCTTCCTATAATCCAGATTCCTGCCCTCAGCATGCTGGGTCCCAACAGGAGGTCCTCCGTCCAGCCAAACTCTCTTACTTACAGTTACCCAAAGACTCCTGGCTCCTGAGGATACTCATTTACCACACAGAAATAGTTTCCTTCCCTTTCTCTCTCTGCCAAAATTTAACCTGTTTCTGAAGGTTCAGTTTAAATTTTTTATGCTCAGGAAGCCATGCTGGCCCCAGCTGGAAAGAATCTCTTGACTCTATACCACTCTTGCAGTCCATGGCACTCGCTTGTGCTTGCCAAACCCTTTTCACGGTAACTGTTTCTCCTATGTCCACAAAGTTCATGCACTGCTGAAGACAGAAAGCAGGTCTTCTAGTCCCATGCATTCCACCAGTGCAACATTTCATCCCAGAGCACTTTCAATAATGCGTTATAGGACAGGAGCTCAGTGGGTGTTCACTGTTACAATTAGGACTTTATTCTTAACACTAATTCTAAGTTAAGATATCTCCACATAGGCATTGTTGCTTAATAATCATAATCATAATAAATGAGGGGCCAATACTCACAGCTTACTAAAGTGTTGAGGCTGAAGAAAGGGGACAGCAAGATACCCTTTGCTACGGAATCTACAACTGACACCAAGTGGATGAAAAATAAGGAAAAAGAGAACTTACAAGTTAAATGTAGGTGGGAATAAAAACACAACATGTTTTGTTCCACCAGTAGTCCACACTGCAATGTAAAGTTATTATATCCATCAATAAGTTCAACTTATTTCATGGTCGAGATATCAAAATATCCCAAGATAAGAAAATCTTACCAATATCCAGTACTGGAACATACTGTCAGCAAAAACACACTGTCTGAAGAAACAGCACAGGTAGATTTAATAGTAACAGCTGCTCAAAATCTCTGAACAGAGAAGGAAGAAGACAGGCCATTGATTGGCAAGCATGTGCCTGAGACAGTGCCAATATTTTATATATGTTAATATAATCCAGGTTGTTGAATTTACATTTTGAATATTTATTTATTTTTTAATTTATTTTTGGGAGAGAGACAGAGAATGAGCAGGGGAAGGGCAGAGAGAGGGGGAGACACAGAATCTGAAGCAGGCTCCAGGCTCTGAGCTGTCAGCACAGAGCATGATGCGGGGCTTGAACTGACGAACTGTGAGATCATGACCTGAGCCGAAGTTGGACGCTTAACCGACTGAGCCACCCAGGCGCCCCTGAATTTACATTTTGATAGGAAGGAAATGACTTTAGCAACTGCAGTTTAAGATTGTTCTTTTTTAAAACTAAGGTTGAAACAAAATGTTTAAAATACTAGCTTTAGGATTCTGTATGTTTCAGTTTTTGCCTCTGAGCTACTTCACCTCCTATAATCATAGACCAAGTTTAAAATCAGAGTATGGGGGGCAGGGCTGGTTAAGGGTAGAATATTGATTTATTTTTACTATAATGTCCCACTTATGAAGAAATCATCTAGTTTCCAGGTGCACTGCTATATATCGCTGAATGTGACAAAAGGCACAGTAAAGCAGCATCCACTGTGATCATAAAATAGTGCTACTTAGCTGAAAAATCACTGTCCTGTCTGTGATCCAATGTGCAAAGATCTTTTAAACTTTGAATTATAAAAATTTTCAAATATGCAGGACAGTGGAGAAAATACTATAGTAAACTCACAAGCCCATCACTGAGACTGAACAATTATTAACATTTTGCCATATATGCTTCAGTTGATTCTTGCTGAAGTGTTTTAAAATAAATTATAGATGTGATTTTTCATCTCTGTATTTGAGTATGCGCCTCTATAAAATAAGGACATCTCCTTACATAATCTCCATATCATTATCACACCTAACAAAATTACCAATGACTACTTAATATTGTCACATATTCAGTACATATTAAATTTTCCCAATTGTTGTTTAATTTTCAGTTGATTTACACCAGGATCTGAACAAAGCCCACACATTATATTTCATCGTTATATCTAATAAGTTTCTTTTAATCAAGAATTTATAGTGATTTTTGATACTATAGCTTCTCAATGTCACATATATAAAATGCAGGCATATTTTAGGGTCAGATCCTGTGACAAAAATACAGTCCATTAGGGACAGTATGCTTTAGCTTTTCTTAGGATTATGTAGTCCTTTAGGATTAAATATTTTCCATTAGGTTTAAATATTGTAAAATAGAAACTGTCAAGTTGCTGAAGGCAAGGGAAACAAAAGCAAACATGAACTATTGGGACTTCATCAAGATAAAACCTTCTGCACAGCCAAGGAAACAATCAACAAAACTAAAAGTCAGCCTACAGAATGAGACAATATATTTGCAAATGACATTTCCGATAAAGGGTTAGTACCCCAAATCTATAAAGAACTTATGAAACTCAACACCCAAAAAAACAGACAACCCAGTTCAGAAATGGGCAGAAGACATGAATAGACACTTTTCCAAAGAAGACATT